TTATTTTCCTTTCTTCTTTCCTAACAGTCAAATTTCCTAACAGTCTGGAAAAAATTAGATAGATGATAGATTACATTAGATTACATCAGATAGATAATAGATTGATAATCAGTGATAGACTGATGCTAGACAGATAAACAGATCGAGGATAGTTGATAGATGGATAGATAGATAATAGGTAGATAGGATAGACAGCAAGATTATTTTGGTGAGATCCTTAACAAAAGGAAGGGTCCTAATATTTAAAAAGTGCCTCCTGTGTTTTACATATTTATTTATGGATTTGAAGAGATGGAAAGGTATAAAATGTCCAGTAAGGGCTGGGAGTGCAGCCCAGGTCAAGGATGAGGCGTCGTGTCCTGGGACTGCTGTGCCACACCAGCAGGTGTGTGACTCTCAGCTGCAGCAACCTGGAAGGAAACCAGGCGAACCGCGGCTCAGACCAGGGCTGGGTGAGGCAAGTGCAACTAGGGAAAGGGCGAGTTAAAGCCCTAAGGCTGCGGCGATCATTCCTTCTCCGCCTGTGCAAGGCAAACACACAGGACCTCTCGTCGCAGTGTAGACGTGCGTGGACATTAACACCCCCTTGTGCAGACCCGGGAAAGGAGGAGTGAGGAGAGAACGGCCCAGCTTGAACCAAAGAACAATTATGAAACTACCACATTAAGCTCATGTAAAACCAAACCGTCTTGAAGGGGGAAAGAGAATTACCTCAGTTACACAATTAGTCTAGAAAGAGCTGTAAAAAAAATGCTAAGATACGACAACTATGACACTTAAAGGTTTAAAATGAGGGTTGTTCGAAATGGAAGTTTTAAAGGTTAATTACTAGTGCCTTACACATAATACAGTAGTTTTGTTAATGGAACAATATTCAGTTAGGTTCGGTGTGTCAACCCTATAAAATAAGTATATCAGCCGTGACTGTAAATTAGTGAAGCTTTTGGGTACAGCAGCTGTTAAAAGACCTTTGTCTCCGTGCAGAGAGAGTATGCTGTCTTTCTAAGCGCCAAAAAGAAAAAGTATCCACTAAAAAAGTGTCAAGTTTGCCTGGTGTTTATGTAAAGAAAATTTCACTTCAGATAAAAAGCCTTCAAGTCTCCTGCCAGAAACACACATACACCTCCTCTAATTTGTGTTCTGTGTTGCTCCAGCCATAGGCCAGATGCGGTTAGAAATCAGAGTGTGGGTGCCCAGCCTTCTGTGCTGGGTGTGGTAGCCCCAGTGTTTGGGGTCCAAAGTGAAAAGGCCTGAAATGCCCCCCAGTATTGACTGCTCACTATCCGAGTGATTCTGGAGCTTCATGTCAACGCTATAAAATACCAAGTATGATACAGATGGAAAGTGGTATGACTTTATCAGCTGTTATGGGTTGAATTGTGTTCCCCCAAGAAGACATGTTGAAGTCCCAACCCCCAGAACTTAAGAATGTGGCCTTATTTGGAAACAGGGTCTTTGCAGATAGAATTACAGTGGTACCTCGGATTTCAAGTGTAATCCATTCCAGAAGACCGTTCGAGTTATGAAACATTTGAAAGCCGAGGGATCCACAGCTGACAACAGCTGGGCCTCAGGATCCTGCCCTCAGCAGAAGCCGCATGGCCTGTTCGACTTCCGAGGCCTGTTGGAAAACCGAAATGTTCTACAACGGAGACATTCAAAAACCGAGGTGCCACTGTAGTTTGGATAAGGCCATACTGGAGTGGGGTAGACCCCGACTCCATAAGAAGACACACACACACACACACACACATGCAAAGGCCGGAGGCTGTGGGAAGAGGGAAGCAGGGGTTGGAGTGACCAAGCTAAGGAACACCTACAGGCCAAGGATCACCTACAGGCCAAGGATCACCTACAGGCCAAGGATCACCTACAGGCCAAGGAACACCTACAGGCCAAGGATCACCTACAGGCCAAGGATCACCTACAGGCCAAGGATCACCTACAGGCCAAGGAACACCTACAGGCCAAGGATCACCTACAGGCCAAGGATCACCTACAGGCCAAGGATCACCTACAGGCCAAGGAACACCTACAGGCCAAGGATCACCTACAGGCCAAGGATCACCTACAGGCCAAGGATCACCTACAGGCCAAGGAACACCTACAGGCCAAGGATCACCTACAGGCCAAGGATCACCTACAGGCCAAGGATCACCTACAGGCCAAGGAACACCTACAGGCCAAGGATCACCTACAGGCCAAGGATCACCTACAGGCCAAGGATCACCTACAGGCCAAGGAACACCTACAGGCCAAGGATCACCTACAGGCCAAGGATCACCTACAGGCCAAGGATCACCTACAGGCCAAGGAACACCTACAGGCCAAGGATCACCTACAGGCCAAGGATCACCTACAGGCCAAGGATCACCTACAGGCCAAGGAACACCTACAGGCCAAGGATCACCTACAGGCCAAGGATCACCTACAGGCCAAGGATCACCTACAGGCCAAGGAACACCTACAGGCCAAGGATCACCTACAGGCCAAGGATCACCTACAGGCCAAGGATCACCTACAGGCCAAGGAACACCTACAGGCCAAGGATCACCTACAGGCCAAGGATCACCTACAGGCCAAGGATCACCTACAGGCCAAGGAACGTCAAGAATTGCCAGGAGCCACCAGAAGCTGAGGGAGAGGCACAGGACAGATCCTGCTCAGAAGGAACCGACCCTGCCAACGCCCGCCCTCAGATTCCTCGCCCCCAGAGCCCTGAGAGGATACGTTTCCTTTGCTGTAAAGCCGCCCAGCGTGGTGCTTTGTAGCAGCAGCCCTGGGAAACTCCTGCCCGCCCTTCAGTCTCAACACATACGGAGGAAAGTTATCGAGAATGGCCCAAGGAAAAATAAATTCGTGCACGAAGAACAAGGGAACAGAATCCTAGGCAGTGTCCCTAGATCCCTCTAAAGCCGGGGTTTCTCCACTGAGGGCGCCCCCCCACCGACCCACCCACCCCAGGAGACGTTGGCAGTGTCTGCAGGTTGTCACAGCCGAGCAGGGGGCTTCCAGTGGCACCTGCTGGGTAGCAGTGGGAGAAGCTGCT